TGCAGAAAGATAACCAAAGAAGATACAAGGAAGTGTACGCTTACAAATATTGCATAATAAATCATACATTTATGTATCTCATATGAGCTTTGTTGTTTTAGGAACATTATGAACAGTGAACATACCAGTTTAAACACAGATAAAGGTTAATAAAAGACACATAACAGTAAAAGTTTTCGTTTGAATCACAATATAAGGGGGGACATGAGCTGCTTGGCGGAGGTCTGCGCTCTCCGAGTGCTTTTCTAGTTTTTGTGTGTTCTGGATCACAGTATCCAGAATTCTGTCCGGATCAATTTAATGGGATCCTCCTGGGGCTGAGACGCACCTCTGGTGAAAATTTCAGGTCAATCCGTCTGTTACTTTATCCGTAAAGTTGCTAACAGACAAACAAACAAACAAACAAACCAATGCTACCGAAAACACTAGAAAAGCACTCGGAGAGCGCAGACCTCCGCCAAGCAGCTATATTGTGATTCACACCAAAACTTTTACTGTTACGTGTCTTTTATTAACTTTATCTGTGTTTAAACTGATATGTTCACTGTTCATAATTTTCCTAAAACAAGAAATGCGCTGACCCGGATTCGAACCCAGGACCTTCTTGCTGTGAGGCGACAGTGCACCACTGTGCCGCCCATTGGTTATCTTTCAGCATTGAAAATTCCAACGACACCCTTATTTTTGTGGTTTCTGGATCACAGTATCAGGAATTTGTCTGGATCAGGATCAATCTTTGACATCTCATAAAACTCATTGAGATCCTTTTGTGTAATTTTTTACTAAAGACTCTGGCCATTTTTATAGAGTTAAATGCAAAAATTCCCAAATTTGCCCTATCTCACAATGATAAAGAATCCTTCAAAAATATCCTGGATCCAGAAGGCGATCCGGATCACTACCAAAATGTAATGGGACCCTCCTGGGGCTGAGACGCACCTCTGGTGAAAATTTCAGGTCAATCTGTCTGTTACTTTCTCCGTAAAGTTGCTAACAGAAAAAAAAAAAAAAACAACGCTACCGAAAACATAACCTCCTTGGCGGAGGTAATGAATGCAAAGGCACATCAAGCTATATATTGGGGGTCTGTGTAAAGATCTGATACATTGTTTCAACAGAAAGGTGGTTCACGTGTGTGTCTGCACGGGGAAAAATGGGGTTCTCGTAACAGACACCTGTCTAGTCTAGTGAAGAAATGATACATTGTTTGATTTGGGAGGTGGTTCACGTGGGAGGGTCAGAACACAAGTGTAGGAAAGAGATGTGTACCCCACAAAAAATAGTTCACTCTGGTGTGTGTGTGTGTGTGTGTTGGGGTGGTGTGTATGGGGATGTTTTATCATCTGATGGATGAATATAATCTGGATATCCATTCATCACCTATGGCGGTCACTTTTGACCGGGAATACCACAGATGTAACAATGTTTACTACAACATTCAAAGTTTAATGAAAGTGGTCATTATCACTTTGATATGTTCACAGTGTGGAGGATATCATAAGGTCTTGAGGCAATCAGATGTAAAATACAGGAACAGGAATGGCGCCAGCACTGTCCCTTGTGGAGCCCCTGTACTGCTCATTAATGTCCCAGAAACACAGTTCCCCAGCATGACAAACAGTGGCCTTCCTGTCAGGTAATCTGTGATCCAGGAAACACAGGCAGGATCCACTCCCATCTCTGTGAGCTTGTCTTTGAGTATGGAAGGTTGGATGGTGTTGAATGCACTTGAAAAGTCAAAGAACATGATCCTCACATAAACCCCAGGTTCCTCCAGATGAGACAGGGCACGGTGAAGCATGTAGAGGACAGCATCATTCACTCCACTGTGTTCTTTGTATGCAAACTGCAGGGAGTCCAGTTTGTCTTTGACCTCAGACCTCAGAAGGTGTAGAATCAGCCACTTCAGGGTTTTCATGATGTGTGAAGTGAGGGCCACTGGTCTGTAGTCATTGAGTTCAGCAGGACATTTTGTTTTTGGTACTGGCACAATGCAGGATTTTTTCCACAGAGTAGGTACCTGCCCCAGTAGTAGCTTAAAGATCCTGTGGAGCTTCCGAGCTCCATGCTCACCCCTGTTTCGGTGACAGACAAGGACTGGTTTTCTAGGAGGGAGGCAGTTGAAGTGGTTGACATTTGAACAAGATGGAGGAGGAACGGGAGAAGTTGTAGTGGAGATTTGTTGTGGAGAGGAAGGTGGAGTAGCAGTGGAAGTGGGTGTGACAGCAGTGTCAAATCTATTGAAGAACAGGTTAAGTTCATCAGCTCTTTCCAGATCACCCACCACTGGCTGTCTTTTCTTTTTATTGCTGTGTCCAGAGATGGTATTAATCCTCTCCACACATTTAAAACAGTCCCTTAGAGCTTCACTGGTCACAGGCTGCCTCAGCAAGGTCTGTAACAGGTTTGCAGATAGACCAAGTTATGATCTGACTTGCCCAGTGGTGGCAAGGCAGTGGCTCTGTAGGCTTCTTTGACATTGGCATACAGCAGATCCAGGGTTTTGTTTTCTCTGGTAGGACAGTTCACAAACCGTGTGAATCCAGTCAGGAGAGAGGAGAGGGTGACATGGTTGAAGTCTCCTGATATTATTATTAGAGCCTCAGGGTGTTAAGTCTGTAGCCTGGCTACACTATTTTGCAAAACATCGCAACATTCTTCAGTTGATTTGGGTGGGATGTAAACCTCTGTTGTTATGATATGTCTAAATTCTCTTGGAACATAATATGGCTTAAGAGCAACTGCCAACAGTTTAAGATCTGGACAACACAACTCCTTGACAGTTGTGTGTGAAGGGTTACACTATCTCTGGTTGACAAATAAAGCCAGACCTCCTCCTTTCTTCTTGCCACTAGCTTGAGCATCTCTGTCTGATCTTATGAGAGTGAAGCCAGGTAGATCCACACTGGAGTCCGAGTTGTTTTGATTCAACCAGGTTTCAGAAAAAACACAGGAGACTACACTCACGGTATGCGTTATCAGTCTTCACCAGTATCTCCAGCTCATCCCTTTTGTTGGGCAGAGAGATGACGTTTCCCATGATGATTGATGGAAGAAAGGGTTTTTTATCGCCACCTCCTAGCGTTCAGCTTTGCCTACACCTTTGCACCAGCACAGCAACCACGATAACACCTCCTGATGTCTTCTGGAATTGTATGTTGTTGTCCAGATTTGCTTTTCCTCAATGAAAGGAGCTCCTCTCTTGAGTAAACTCTTTGCCCAGCAGAAGGATCCATCAGCAGCCAACAAAATGACAAAATCTAGCAAAAATTACAGATAATACAGAGAGACCAGACTTGCAGCAACCTCTCGGTTCAAGTGCATCATTTGATTCAAATGATGTTCAAGGCATGCACATATTGTCATTGCCTGGGCAGGCTCAGTAGCAGCCCCAAAATGCAGGGCATATGCCCCTGAAATGGGAAGGGGGGAGTTGAAAAAAAAACAACCAAAAAAATGCTCCCCAAAATTCCCCATTAGTATTGCATGACAAGGTGTTTATTAGTATCATAGATGGTGGGTTTATTATGTGCCTGTAAGGCACGCACATATTGTTATTGTCCGGGCAGGCTCAGTAACGGCCTCAAAATGCAGAGCAACACACCCCTGTGATTTCAAAAGTGTAGACGGCTCGTCGATATCTGGTATGGTTTGGCCACAGTAACTGTTAAAGTGAGGGGTGCAAATGTGGATTTTCGTTTTTGTAGAGTGATAACTCATCATTTTAGAATGAATAGAAGTAAATGTGTAATCCCAATTTTTCATTTCTAAATCGCTGCCACGGCCAAAATTTGCACTCAACACACACAAATTATACATCAAAACAGGATATCTGTTGCTGTCTCAGAAAATTTGTTTATTATAAGATGTTTGAATGACTTTGTTTTGGGTATTATAAGATATCTAAATGTCTTTGTTTCCCTTTCTTGTTGCCTTGTAAATATATATTTTTTTTTTCGATGGTCTGCCTTTTTCTGAAGAAGTGAGAGGAGACCAGATGCAGCGCAAGATGGCGGACCCAAAGATAAAAAAACACATTTACAAAACGCAATAAGTTTCCGCATTACCTCCGATTGGCGGACCCAAAACAATTACTTCCGGTGGAAAGGCTTTCTCGTTGGCGGACTTCCGGCGCCGAAATACTTCAGGTAGTCGGATTTAGTCGCCGGATCCTTTTTTTTTTGCTCCGTTCATTCCATAAGAATCGAATTAAATTTATTATTGAGCTAAAAATCAAAATAAAACGTTTATGTATTAATTATGACTACTGTTTTGTTCTGATTTAATTCTGAAGTTTACAGTAATATGTATATATAGCCTGATGTCCTCATATTCTGATAATTTGTCAGAATAGGTAAATGTATGTAGAAGTTATCATCTTACTCAAATTCTTTTGTAAGAGTTTGCTACAAGTATGGACTGTTTTAACCTCTCGTTACACATCATATAACAGTGTTTTCTAACTTTTCTCTCCAATAGCTTTATTACACAGCACATCAATGTTTCTTAACTTCTCTGTGACCTTGTTTCTCCACTCCTATTAGGACCTCGTTTAATGTCAACAATGTTGCCCTGACCCTCACATATTTTCTGTTGTTCATAATTATGTTTTATGAGAGTGCTTATGTTGCTGCACAAATTTACTCCCCCCATCCTTTAGTAACATTGTGTAACCAGGGACATAATTTATGAAATGGTGTGCTTCCTGGTGAACCTCTTCAGGATTGCTTGACTGTGCAAAATCCAAGTATACAATAGTTGTAGAGACACAAGTCACATGATCTCTTTAAGGTTCAGAAGAGCCATATAGCAAAAACAATTGAATAGCGATATCATTACAGACTGTGTAAAGAAATGGGAAATTGTCATACAACTGCTTTGAAGATTTCTTTAATTTTTTCCAAAAAAAATTGTGAACAGTAAAAAAATATATATATATACAAAATTCAGCACTGCCGTCGGTGTGGTGGGGGGCTTAAAACACGTTGCCACAGGCCATCATCAGCTCTGCTCTGAACCGGTTGATGCAATGCTCCTTCAGTGCTTTGATCAAAAGCTGAAAAACAGTCAAATAATGTGAACAATTGAAGTTATGCAGTATGGGTTAATTGTTGTTCTTGAGCTTTCCAAATGAATAAGAACAACCTCTTAACAATATCATCAATTTTCAAAGCAAGCTATATAGTTTGATCTACTCACCTCTGGGAGCATGACGTCAAAAACGAAATCAAGCAGATGAATCTCGTCTCTCTTTATTTTTTTAGAAATGTTTGTTGCCACCTCAATGAACCGCAGGAGCTCGAACATCTATTGAAGAAAAACACACAAAGTAAACACCTTTCAAATGTAACACCCCTGAGAGTAAAAATACTCATGATGGATGGCATTTTTACTTACGCGCTGCTCACTCCAACTTAATGTCCTTATCTTGAGGTGCTGCTTCAGTCGGAGTGAGGTGGCGGGATTCCTCCAAAGGAACATCCGGTTGGAGCGGAGCTTTCCAGACAGGAGATCATCATGTAATGTCTGAAACCAAAGAGCAAGAGACAAAAATGTAATCATCTGAAAAAGAAACGGTGGCTTTAACAACTGATAGTGCATTCAAAAGCAACCTTGATCTGTGTCTTAGAAAAGACAGCATGAATTCCTCCACTGTCAACAGCATCCTTGATCCTGCAGAGAAATAAGAAAAAGAGCAAGCCCTCATTTTTTCATCCTTTGAGCCTCGTATTTTTGACTGATACTATGTTTCCTTGATAAATTATGTTATACCGAGGATGCTCAATGGAGTCCTCGCACCCGCAGTCAAATGGCTCCATTTCCATCCCAGCACAATCCTGATGCAGCCAGCCCCTGCACGTCTTGCACTGGACCCATTTGATCAATTTTACCTCAGGGTAAAGCAATCTGATCAAATGAGAGACAAACATAATATCAAACAAACACGCTGTCCAATTGATTATACCTCTACAGCACATTTGAATGTATAAATAATTTTCCTGCATGATTCGTGCATTTAAACTATATGTAAAAGTGGTCACTTCATGGAAAATCACTGAATAGGCCCCGATAATTGCATTTATTAAATTGAGTCTGCAACACACCTCTCTCCTGTGTTGTCGGATGTCTGGTAGACACAGAATTGCATCGACTCTGCCATGCACATTCTTCGGACATCCGATGCCCTCTGCGTCATGGTTTCCTTGACAAGTCAATTTGAAAAGTAACATCAATTACCTAATACATCGAGACAATGTTGATCCATACAACTGTGTGCATTTTGAAGTACTCCCACTGAGATAATACTGTTTTTAGAAGGCAATTTTCTAACCTCTATGTCCTGCTGCTCGGCCTTCCTCTTTAGTCTGAAGACCGGAGTATGCTTTCCAGCAATGAGCTGTTTACATTCTTCGGTCCAGTGGGCGAAGATTTTCCCACAACTGTAATGACAATATATCTTTAAGTACAATATATTGATTGTCTTCCAGTTAATTAGGGCATCTAGTTTACTTAAACTGTCTACCTGTTCAAAGAATTGTTCTCCAGGAGCAACAGGCACCACCATCGCCGCAAAACAGGCATGTCATGCTGAAATTGTTGTTTGTATTTCATTTTAGTGCACAATACAAAATACAACCTTGAGGATGACACTGCGTGTTGAAAAGTACTTACAACTGAGTAGTCAAACTGTGACTCCAGAACGATGTACATGGCAGACTTAAAAAAAAAAAAATTATGAGACAACTTGTGAGATAACTTTAAAAAAGTCCATGTTGGAAAGTTATTCTAGATACAATATTTGTGCATTACAGCTCGTTATGACCTACCATCAACATGAAGATTCCACAGTCTGAGCCAAAGTCCTGGCTGGGGAAGCCCTGATTAAAATAATATAAAATAATATTTTCCTTACCGTTGTTTCGCTGTACAAATGCGCATTGTAAGGTGTGTGCTCCTGTAACGATGTCGATTGAGTTCTTCTTTTTCTGTAAATTTTGCCGTCAGAAAGTGTAGGTACATACCGCCACCTACTGTTCTGGCATCGCAAAGCAGAAGTTCAAAGTTCATGTTTTGGGTCCGCCAATCGGAGGTAATGCGGAAACTTATTGCGTTTTGTAAATGTGTTTTTTTATCTTTGGGTCCGCCATCTTGGCGCTGCATCTGGGTACTCTTGGAAGAAGTGGCAACACCTACTGGCCTAATATTGTACTGAATAGGCAGCATGCCTACTCACATGCTTAATTGCTAATAAGGGAGTGGCATCTTGTTCTGGTAGAAGCTAACAGCAGAGGCCACATGCAGAAGACTTTGGCACAGAAGAGAAGCTGTGTGGTCAAGAATTATGGCAGCTCCTAATTTTCTGAGCAGAAAGCGCACACGGTATGTTTTTGTATTTTATTTTGCCCTTACAATATTTATGTTTGTGTTATATTTTAGTACTAAGAAGATGCCCGTGTTTGTAATGTTTCTTTTCAGTCTTTCACGGTGTTTGCTGGTTAAAAGAAGAAAATAAATGCTGGTCAAACATCAGTAAGAGCATGGCTTCTCTGTCTCTGAAGAAAAACTTTGGGAGCAGTTATTCAGCCGGACAGAAAATGTGGTCCTTGAAGCCATGAGATTCTTACTTTTCAAGCTACAAGGTTTTGTCCGGGAGGAGGTACCTGTTTCACCTCCATCCACCGCCATTCAAAAACAAAACAAATGCTCCACATCTAACTGTTGCTCATTTTCTCAACAACTCGCACTCCCGTCTAAACTGTAAAGTGTAGCAACTTGTCCCTCTGATATGTTGTAGCTGTATTCATTAGTTGCTCACGGTCCAGAGTTTTTTCCGATACAACATGTAAGCCTTTTGTGGGCACCAGCGAGATATCAAGATTCCTATTCAAAGTGAATGGAGCTGCTGAAAACATGGGGTGGTCTCCATATTTGGAGCTTGATTGTGATGCCAGTCCTGTTCTAAGCTGGCAGAGGCTCAGTGAGGCAAAGTCTGTGTCACAGGTGAGCTGCAGGTGCACTGTCACCATGGAGATGATTCCCGCTCAGGGCCCGCCCACCTGGGCCCGCCCACCTGGTCTTGATTGCCAGCTGTCTTCCAGACACCACAACACAGAGACAGCCGGATTGCCTTAAGGTTTCAAGTCAAATTTATGATAAAGGCCCTTAATCATCATCGCTTTGACATATTGGCACCATATTTGACACGTCCCCTCGTGACCCTAACGCATCAATGCCCTCATGTATCTCCACCCAAAACATGGCCTAAATGTGATTAAATCAGTGGCAAGCAGCAGCAAATCGGCAAGCGGGCAGGCACATATCAAAATACCTGAAATTTTCTATTTTTCTATCATTATTATCATGATTATTGAGTGACAGAGAGAGTATAAATCACTGAGAGCATGGAGATTGAATCAGCTTAGAGCTGCAGTTCTCAACCTGAGAGAGAGAGGAAGAGAGGTGGAGCAGGGGGAGGGAGAGAGAGAGGGCGAGGGATAGAGAGGGAGAGAGAGAGGTTGAAGGGAAGACAGGTGGGGAAACGGAGAGAGAGAGAGAGAGAGAGAGAGAGAGAGAGAGAGAGAGAGAGAGAGAGAATCAGTCTGAAGGAGAGAGGACAGTGGTGTGGATCTCTTTACTCTTGCCCATCTGCCCTGCTATTATTCTCTGTCTCTGTTCATCCCTCTATCCAGCTCCCGTTAATCCAATCCTCCACCTCACTCTCCATCCATCCATCCCTCTGTCTGTCCCGACTCAGTGCTGCTGGTTCATGACGGATCCACAGGAGGATGTTGAAGTTCCGCGTGGACAGGAGGGTCAGGTAGGTGGAGGGAGGAAGTGACACACCGGGTTGGAGGAAGGTTGAAAGGCGGGTGGAGCAAGAAGGCAAGTGATAAAAAAAGAGAGGATGAGAGAGGAGTGGATGGAGGGAGCTGGAGGTCAGAGATGACTGCATTGCAGTGCCAGCAGGAAGCACGGGGGGCTGTAATCCCTGCTGTGTGTGCTTATCTACACTGATGTATGGTGTGTGTGTGTGTGTGTTTACAGCAGAGCTACCTCAGCAGCATGTCTGATTGATCCTGTGAGTGTAATAAACTCTGTTGTCTGTGGTTTCTCCAGTATGAAGATATCAGTCAGCTGGTCTATCCTGTTTCTCTGACTCTGAGCTGACAATGCTGTTGTACTCTGAGATACTCTGTCCTCAGTGATACTCTGTCCTCAGTCTTACTCTATCCTCAGTCCTGCTCTGCCCCCAGAAATTCTTTGTCCTCAGTCATTCTCTGTCCTTCGTGATACTCTGTGCTTAGTAATACTCTGTCCTCAGTGATTTTCTTTTCTCAATGATACTCTGTCCTCAGTAATACTTAGTACTCAGTCGTACTCTATCCTCAGTGATACTTTGTCCAAGGTAATACTCCGTCCTCACTGATACTCTGTTCTTCGTTATACTTTGTCCTAAAATTTCCCCTGTCCTCAGTAATACTCTGTTGTCAGAGATAGTCTGTTCTCAGCGATACTCTGTTGTCCTTGATACTCTGTCCTCAGTCATACTCTGTGGTTAGTGAAACTCAGTCCTTAGTAATACTCTAAACTCAGTAAAACTCTATTCTCATTGATATTTTGACCTAGTTAATACTCTGTCCTCGGTTATAATCTGTCCTCAGTAATACTTCGTCCTCAGTGGTACCCAGTCCTCAGATATACTCTGTTGTTAGTAATTCTTTGTCCTTAGTGATAATTTCTCCATGGTAATGTACTGATGTAAGTTATAATCTGTCCTCAGAAAAACTCACTCCTCAGTAATATTCTGTTCTCAGTGAAACTCTGTCCTCAGTTATACTTCGTCCTCAGTTATAATTTTCCCTTAGTTATACTCTTTCCTTAGTAATTCTCTATCATAATAAACTCTGTCCTCAGTAATTCTCTGCCCTCAGTGATACTCTGTCCTCAGTCTTACTCCTTCCTCAGAAATACTTTGTCCTCAGTCATTCTCTGTCCTTGGTGATATTCTGTCCTTAGAAATACTCTGTCCTTAGGTGATACTCTGTCCACAGTGATACTCTGGCCTTCGTGATACTCTGTCCTTAGTGAAACTTAGTCCTCAGTTATACTCCGACTCAGTAAAACTCTGTTCTCATTGATACCTTGACGTAGGTAATACTTTTCCCTCAGTTATAATCTGTCCTCAGTAATACTCTGTCCTCAGTGATACTCTGTCCCAGGTTATACTCTGCCCTCAGTCATACTCTGTCCTCAGTTTTTCTCTGTCCTATGTAACACTCTGTTGTCAGTAATACTCTGTCCTCAGTTATTCTCTGTCCTCAGTTATACTTTGTTCTCAGTTATACTCTTCCCTTAGTTTTACTTCTTCCTCATTAATACTCTATCCTTAGTGATACTCTGTCCTCAGTTATTGTCTGTCCTCAGTGATACTTTGTCATTTGTTGTACTCTGTCCTCTGTGAAACTTCGTCCTCAGACATATTCTGTCCATAGACATATTCTGGTTTCAGACATACTTTGTCCTCGGTCATTTTCTGTCCTCAGCGATACTCTGTCCTGAGTAATACTTCGTACCAGTGTCGCGATTTAAATTCATAATAAATGTCTTAAGATTAATATTTAATAATTATTTTAATTAATGACATTTATGCACTCGTTGAAAGGGGCACCACCCATCCTTAATGATGGGAAAATAAAGAGGAACAAAAGTTTAATTTAGAAATCAAACATTAAGTCAATCTTACATTAATTAATCTCATATCTCGAGCAGAAATTCTTATTTCAGGGACTCCACTTCTGGAAGAACACTAACAGACAGGAACTTAGAAAAATAATGATCTGTTTATTACAGGATAAATAATGGTACAACATACATGCTACAAATGATGATAAGATAATGAGGATAAATAATAATAGGTGAATAATAAAAGACTGAGTCAGGCTAGGAGCACTAAAGTTAATGATAGTGAGTGAATATGCTCTAACATATTAACCTACATTAACTCTGGTGTGAAGCTAAATTTGGATGTGTATTTGGATGAATTTAGGATTACTAGAACAAGTAAATATCTGAGTCATGACCACATGAGACAGCATCAGCCCTGTTTGGAGCTCTGGAGGTTTGCACTACTTAAGTGAGACTGGTCCTTGGAGAAGATGGAGCAGGTACCGAAGGTCCAGGGCTACCAGCAGTTAGGGAGGTTCAGCTCAGAAGACAACTGAAGTGAGCTGAAAGATGGGCCAGGAGTTGCAGCACTCAGGCCCGAATCAAAAACCAGTGCTGTATGCTTCCTATTCGATGCTCCTTCGGTCTCACCACAAACTCTGGCACAGATGATGACTTTGGGCCGCCTCGGTGGCGTTTGGAAGTGACTTTGAAATCACACAGATAACTCAGGAAAAGAGGCTGGATGGCCAATCGAAACAGTTTCAAAAATGGCTTTGTGAAATTAAAGAAAAATCTATTAGGGCCTTGGGGCTCTATTTTCATGCTTCGCCGGCAACGTGGCACAGATGCGGCGGACCTGACCTTATCCGCCGCGCCAACAAAGCGTTCCCAAACACAATTTGGTATTTTATTGAGCGGCGCAGCCCGCCGTAAGTATCCCCCCTCCCTAACTCAGCTCCTCCCAGCAGCGTAAGTCGTAGCGAGGGAGGAGAGAGGGCGTGGAGTAGGTTTAACACAGCCAAGACCTGTATTGACCAATAACATAAGCTACTCTCCTCGCCTTTAAATCTGCCACCGGCGAGGCGTATTACAATTTTTGTGAAGTAGTCAAAGAGATCAAGAGATGTCTGAACACAGCAATGCCACACGATGGCGACAGAAGGCAGTCCCTCAACAAGTGTCGCTGTAGGCACTGCAGAGGGCGTCCTTCACACTCTCTCAAATAAGCACAGATGGATTTGGTGTGTGTAAGGTTGGACCCACTGGTAAGACAAACACCCTTTTCCACAGATAAAGACCCTCACATAAAGTTGCATATATTTAAACCTCATATGACAAAGGTGGGTTGTGTGCACAGATCACAACATAAATTCCAATAATGGCTTTAAAATCTGAACCATATGTGCGTAATGACGTATCGCGCTCCATGGCCTGGCTCTTTCTTTCATAGATGTTGGCATATAAAATAAATCTGGCTCACAAAACTGAATATTATTATATTCGTACATAGGCTTAAAGTAAATTACTCATCTGATCACTAAAATAAATCATCTGTTCAGCCGCCGTGGCAGCAGCTGCAGCAGGACAGGGAGAGGACACAGAGACATGTCCAGCTCGAGCTGCGCGAGAAATAAGAGGAAGAGGAAGAAAGATAGCAGGGAGACGAATTACATATCCTGTTAACTTCATCATGTGTGTCTATTTACTAGATATTTATTTAATTTAATATGGTTTC